AGATTTTGCGGAGTAACGCCATTTCGATTGCCATATAACCATACACTACGTGATATACATCACTCCGTTCCTGGTACTTGAATGCAAATGAAAGATTATCACTTTGTTTATTACTTTTGTACATTTTTAAATACCGCATGCAAAATGGTTTGATTTCCTAACATGGCTCAGCTTTTTTAAAGTCTTAGAGGATTTGCTCTTCGCCGATATTTGACTTTCCCCAGGGGTTTCAACTTTACCAGAGGTTTAGCCAGAGTTTTACCTAGTTTCATCTTTCGTCGGGTTTAGTTTTATCATTCGTCATTTGCCAAAAACAGTTTCACCTGCCAACACTAGTTCTAGCCAAGTATATTTACTAGGAAAATGGAAACCATTTAAAGTCCGAAGGACTAAATATAAAACTAGACCGTAGCCAATAACATCGACTATCTATTGTTTTGATTGTTTTTCTTTTACATTACACCTGATCTAGCCAATCACAATCCAGAATTTTCGGACAAATATGCAACACAGTATTTGAATGGTAAAGGATGAATTATTTTCGTTGTAAAAGGCTTTGGAATACTGTACGACATGTTTTTATCAAAGAATTTCGTACTAAGTAACCTATCACAGTTCGAATTTATGGGTAATTTTTAATGATTTTAACAATATCATAGATTTGCAAGATATAAAAATTATTTAAATAGGGCAATCCAGACGTTATTCACGTGAAACAAACGATTTTAAAGATTAGATAATAATAATATATATAAAAAAATCTTTTATTTAAAGTTGGAGGTCTAGGTCGCAGATAATTTGTCTGAGTCTAGTCTTAGTATTCCTTAGATATGGAGTTCAAATGTACAGTAGTTTTTTTTCTATATATTTTTCCTTGTAAAGAAGTTCAATAAAGATAGAGGCATGGCCTCACCTTTTTAATATTTAAAAAAAAAATTAAAGTTGAAGTTTTTTTTTTTACAATCTTGCGTGTTCAACCTTAAACAAATTTTCAGGGTCATTATGAGCATCAGCAACGAATAAAGTATGTCTACCCCGAGCTATCACTTTTCTATCGGCTTTATTGCGCATCTCTACAATTGTAAACGCGAGTTTTTTACCAAGCTTTATACATTCTGCATCCTAAGAATAAGATAATGGCGACAAATTACTAATTAAGCCGCTGTATGAAAAATCACTCAGGAAGCAAAAATTTTTACCAAAAGTAAAGTATCACCATCTCCCACAGATCTGAGATATGAAACGTTTAAATCTGTACTAACTCCTGAATGGTGCATTCCTTTAGAGTATATTGCTAGCATTCCACAAACGTCGGTCAACAATGCCAACATTCCTCCATGAACTGATTGTATGCGATTCTATTGCAATAATTGATAAACTTTTTAATCGAATTGATTCAACTAATTGGAATTTTAAAATATTAGAATAAAGACTTTTTATACCAGATGATATTCTTGAATAAGAATTTCGGCACTAACTTTACCGTCCGCTGTATTTGTTATTACCAGCTATTTTTTTAAAAAATGTGAAATGGGATATATTTTTTGGTTATTATTCATAATAATATATATCAAGTACATCGAGTTTCATAGAAAAAAATACTATACATCTTTTAGAAGACAATCAAAGGTTGTTCTGCTCTCGAGATGTCGTTGAAACATTTTGCGAACCCAAATCGTTCTGTCATCGGTAATTTCTGCTAATTCCATAATTCAGATGAAAGCCTACTTTTATTGCACTTAGAAGGTTTTTATTAATGAATTAATTTTAATAGAGCAAATTTCACACACTAATAATAATTTGACAAGAGGAATTCGACCTCTTATTTATGACAAAATTACAGATAAAGAAAAAGAACAAAATAGAAAGTTTTCATTTTCTCTTGTCATTATATCGCCATTGAACTCTAGTCATATAACCCTTTTCTAGTCTAATTCTCTACCCCTTGTACACAGCCATTATCATTGAAACATTCGACGAAAGGAAAAAGAAGGTAGGTAAATGAAGGCTTCTGCGTCATCCTTATTTTGACATCGTTCTCTACCCATTGACTCATTCATTAACTCATTCACATTGCCGTTACCACATCAAGGTAATCAAGGTAATCAAGGTAATCAAGGTAATCAAGGTAATATTACCTTGACATGTGTCAGTCTAATCGGACATTCACAAGAATGACGTTAGTGCATTGAATGGAGGGCCTGGCTTAAAGAGGTTTGTCGTTATAGAAATTCTATAGTTTTGATTTGCATAGCGATAGTACACCGCACATCCTAATATGCTACGTGTTTACAAATTGTTACATGACAGTACTTCATCATAATGTAGGATACGTACACACCAAAATAAATATACAACAACCGTATCATTAAATATTGTTCATTTGCTGAGTATCATGATTATTCTTTAATTAAGTTTAACCTCAGACCAAATTAGCATGGCATACATAGAGGAGTTCTTGGTAAAACATTAGAAGTTTGACATGCCAAAATCGAAAATTTTTTGATCACTGATATGTAAATACTGGTTTTTTACTGAGATAAGCAATATTCACAGGTCATAGTGCATCAATAAAATACGGAATTTGCGTAGAATTTCGTATGTAATACGGAATTATGTATAATTATTTGTTACTTAAGTTTCCTTATATGATAAAATAATGCAAATTGTCCTACAATTATAATATATGTAGCCATAATATGTAATCATTCCAATTTAGTATAATTTTAATTTAGTAAACTTATTAATGTTAACGTTAATCTATTTGGTAAACAATTTGGTAAATGCATCATTCAAATGCATCATTCAAATCTAGTAAACTTTATCGTTAATCTATTTGGTAAATTTAAATTTAGTAAACTTATTAACGTTATCTTTTGGTAAGCTATTTGGTATTAACGTTAACGTTAATGCATCATTCAAATTTAGTAACTATACCCCTTAAAGTAATATCAATTCGTCAATCAAGAGATAACTTGTATAGCGTGAATTAGGCAGCTAAGCCACTCTTTTCTTAACGTAAGACGATACACGACAAGGGATATAGGTTTGTAATCCGTTATCTTATACAATATATTACTGAAAAGAATCATGTGAATAAAGTCTAGTCTGTTAGATTCAAAACAGTCATAAAATGTCAAGACGATAACGATAACAATAATGCAAAAAAATTATTTATTGCTATAAAAATTTGTTAAGCAATAAAGATACAAGTTATTACATTCGTATGTTTAAAACAAATCTCATTGAATATATTAATACTGTATAATGTTATGCATATCATAGAAATTTACGTTTTTACTACATTTAATGCATTGCCCAATTAGTTATAAGATTTTGCCATGAAAAATGCCTTAGTAACCATATACTTTGTTATTTCGATATAAAAATATTGAATTTTTAATTCTCCTACACTAGATTTCGTTCTTCAACTAAATTTTTTTTGACCATACTATTCAAATCCACAATATTATCAAAAAAAACAATGCAAATTAGAAATAAAATCGCAATTATAACTGGCGGCGCGAATGGTATTGGTGCTGCTTTAGCTCGGCGACTTGTTCTAGAGGGGTTTGTCAAATAGATAAATGTTATGGTCTCTTTCCGTTTCATTTGATTTTGTTTTTTCTAAAAACTTTTTACATGATATAGTGCTCAAGTAGTTATTGGTGATATTGACGAAAAATCAGGCCAAGAGCTCACAACTGAATTGAATCAAAAGTATTCAGATTCTAATTCGTTTATCTCAACACATCAAAATAATAAAAATAATAATATACCATTTTCATCTTATACAATTTAGCGATAAAGTTAATGCGATCTTTGTTTTTTGTGATGTAACAAATTTCGATCATCTACGTCAATTGTTTGATGCTGCACAGAATACATTTGGCGGTATTGATGTAACTACCTTCGTTACTGTTACTTAATTTTTTTTATATCTAAAAACAATTAGATAATTAATGGTTTCTTTTTCATAAAAGATTGTATGCAATAATGCTGGGATTGGACAATTCGATGAATTTTATGACAATACTGATTAAGTAGATTAATAGTTATATGTTTATTTGAGTGACATTCGTGCATGAACCCAGACTCATGTATTTAGGTTAATAGATTGCTGGATAAAGACTATCGATACTAATTTAAATGCGGTAATCAGAGGCACACAATTGGGAATTCAATTTTTGAAAAAACGTGGTGGTGGTGTAATCATAAATACAGGTTTGTAAACAACAATACTAAATATCAAAAAAAAAAAATTTATTTATTTACTTTATCTGTAGCTTCAATTTCTGGAATTTATCCAGCAAAATTTTTGCCAATATATAGTGCTTCAAAACATGGTGTACGTTTAGAACTTTTTAAACATATGACTTTGCAGTCAAATTATGCTGGCATTAATGATCTTTTATTTAATATCAATTTCCAGGTCATTGGTTTTACAAAATCACTATCCGAACTAAATGATACTGATAACATTCGCGTAAATGCAGTTGCTTCTGGATTGGTGGGTAAGTTAAAGAAATCATTGTCACTATTTTATTGTCACTATTTATTGTATTTATTTGGTATCTGTTAATTATTAATATAAATTAATGTTTAGTGCAAAAATCGAGTAAAACACTGCCTAAAATTGCACAAACAGTTGAGAAGCTTGGATTTATTCCTATGGACGAAGCGATTAATGCTTATATAAAGATCATTCAAGATGATAAACTTACGGGTGATACTGTCATGAATCCTTATAAGAATAATTCTCAAATTATTTCGAAAACTTTCGTGGAGGATTTAAGGTTAAATGATTAGCTTGTTATATTTATTTTACAGGATGAATTTATTGATTCTAAAACCTCTAGCAATATTTGCTGCTATACTAATGGAACCTTTATAGATAACTGATAGCTTCAATAAAAATATACTTAGTTTTTAGTCCAATATGCGATAAATTTTTTAAGATAAAGAAGCCTAATAATGAGCTTATCAGCTACTCAAATTAAAAAAATTGAATCAACTCTATAGATAAAAGTAAAACTATAAAATGAAAAAAAAATCAGCAGCTATATATGTACACTAGTTGCAATTTATTGCGGTTTTAAAATTTTGTAAATTTTGCACATTATCGCTCTTTTCAATTTAAACATTGTTAATTGTTTAATTGTTTAAAATATTATCATAAATTTTTGCAGGAGGTCCCAAATTTCTGGGTCAGTTCCATCAGATTTAGGCTGGCATTTAGCAATACAAGTTAACCATTTTTCTGGGACAAATTATTAGTTGGACAGCTTTATTTAATGAATAGGGCTATGGTTAGGGTTGTGAAATTACCGTAATTTTACGTAATTTATCTGTTATCAGTCGATCGATATGTCACGCAGATCATGTGTATAAAATTTTTAATAATGGGTCAAATGATCGACGCACCCAAATTTTATAAGTAAAATTTTGCTTAAATTTGCTTTTTAGGCTTATTTAACAATAAAGAAGTTGTCAGTGTAATTTCTAGGCATCATTTCACAAATTCTCTAGCATTTGAAGGTTCTTTCTGTGAAATTTCAAGGGTGATTAAAAATAAAATCCAAAAGAATCATGAC